GTGTTGTTAATACATGGCCTTGAATCTGAGTTGGTGAATCATGTATCTTCTGAGTGTGCATCGGTTTTGAGTGTGTAAATGTTGTGCCTGTGTGTGAGCACGTGATAAGTATCTTAACGAGTAACGGGTGTGTGTGGATCCCGGTGTCTGTGCGTGTGCGTGTGCAGCGTGGAGTAAAGGCAATCTCGCCCCTTGGTCCCTCTGAACATCCACACCTCTAAAAATAAGCCACAAGGTAGGGTGCCAGATGACAGGCTAAGGGGGTGGAGGCCTCTCAGAACCAGGCAGGTGAGGTGGGCTAAGGACAGAGGACGGTGTGTGGGGGAGCTCATGAGGCACATGATGGGAGAGGCGTGGGGTGGCAAGGTCCGTCAGACCAGGGCTCTCCCAAGGACCTGTGCAAGCTGGGGACAGTTGGAGGTGGGGAAGGGGGCCTGCTCCTCCTGCCCGACCTGCTCCAGCCCCTTGCCCTGGGTAAAGCACCTGGGGGACGGGTACAGCCAGCCGACAGGGACCTCTGGATCCCATCCTCCGCAGCTACCTCTGCCTGCCTGGCCCTGAACCTGTGCCAGCGCCACAATCAACATCAACGGAGTTGGCTCACAGTCACAGGGCAAAGGTCAGCCGTCACCTGCCTTTCATAAGGAAACAGCACAGACTGTTTGGGGCACTCAGCGGTGTGCCAGGAAGCTCCTGCCTGGCCTAGGAGCGTGGACTGCTGGAGTGACAGAGTTACTGGAGGAGCCAGTGACAGGCAGCCATGGGGCTGCTGACGGGACCTGCCCTGACACCCTGGCTTTGGCCGTGGTCATCTTCCTACTCTTGGTGGACCCCTCCATTGCACCGCCGCCCACGCGGCTGCCACGCTACCCCAGGCATGTCACCTGCCCGGGCTGGGCGCACGCGCTGCAGGTCGGCACTTCCAGGACACATATCCCATTCCTTTGGCAAAGGGTGAGGGAGGTGGTGTTGTGGAACACAGCAGGGCCTGGCTCATCCCCCAGCAGGAGACATGCCTTGCGTGGGGTAAACAGCACATCTGGATTCAGGAAGCTGGGCCCAGAAGAGGAAGCAGGTGGTGAGGGTCTCCCTGGGGAAGCATTCTGTGCAGGCCTGAGCGGACAGTCTGGATTTGTCAAAAGAAAAGGTCTGGAGGAGCAAGGCCCTGGAGGTGAGTCACGACTCGGGCAATGGGCGATTTTTAAGCCCGTTGGACAGCACAGAATCTGTGGAAGCCCCAAGTCCCTTCTGATGAAACAGAGGGAACGTTCTGGGGAATGGGAAGGTCAGTGTCCTAAGCACCATGTAAATAGAAAACTGGGGTGCAGAGGTGCAGGGACC